CATTAATTACTGAGACAACAGCCATAAACAAAAAGTAATTTTATCATCACTTAATGCAGAGGAAGTGGTGGAAAGGCTGAGCAGGTCAGGCTTTTACTCATTGGAGTTTAGAAGAAAGAATGATCATATTGAAACATAAGAGTCTGAAGAGGCTTGATCTTCCTTGTGGACAAAACTAATGAGGGATGGAAAGGGACGGTTTTAGAAATAAAAAAGTAGCCCATTTAAAATGGAAATATAAAGAATTTATATTCTTTAGATCATAGGTTTTGGGAATTCTTTTCCCCAGAGAGTAGTGGAGGCTGCTTATTTTTACAAAAAAAAAATTCATTCAGGATTGTGGGCTGCGCTGTTTAAGCTCGCGCTTATTACCTACCTCAATCTTCCCTCAAGGGGGTAGCAGGGAGCTACTTTCTTGAACCACTGCAGGATGGGTCATCAAATGTTTTCAAAGACCATGTTAGATGGGTTTTAAATCAACAAGGGACAGGTGGAGATATGCATGAAGAATTTTTATTCAATGGCACAGCAGGCTCGATGGGCTGGATAGACTAACTCTTGCAATTTCTTATGATCTCGTGCACATCCTGCACGCTCTTCTTCATTCATCGCATTCACACCTTATCAATAATGGTATACTGTATTTGGAGTCAAATTGCCAATATCAAATCCAAAAATGCCTCCTTAGGAACAATAGCGGATCGAACTTCAAAGCATGATGGGTTTTCAACCAAAGAGGTTAGCGTTATCTAAGCCATAATGGCAGGAGGACGCTGTCACTAGAAGAATTCCAAATTGATAAAAGGAGAAAATGTCAGATAGGCTATGGATATTTAAAGTTGACAAGACACCAGAACCATGTAAAACGCATTCATGGATACTGAAGGAAGTGAGAATGAAAATTACAGAGGCACTGGTTATAATCTTTCAGTCTTCCTTAGACTCAGAGGATGTGCCAGAGGACTGGAAAACTGCAGACGTTACACCCTCATTCAAAAAAGGGTTGTAATAATAGGCCAAACAATTACCAGTCATCAGTGCTGAGGAAACGTCGAGAAAATTATTTAGGATAGAATTAATAGTCACGTAAAAAGTGGTGGGTTGAATAGGAAATAATAGCATGGGTTTCTTAAAGGGAAAATCATGTTTGATTTGTCATATCATGGAATTGTTCTGAAGGAGGGAACAGAAAAGGTTGATTAGAGTAATGCTGTTGATGCGATGTACATGGATATTCAAACAGTTTTTAATGTGGGTGCAGTGAGAGAGGAGCATTCAGAACACAGAATCAATGGACGGAGAGATCATAAGATTGTACAAATGGTGTGAGTGGAGCATCGAATACTAAATCCTTGCAGGTGATCCAAAGTGTTAGACGATGTGAGTAAAGTGTCAACAGCTGAATAACAAGCGAAGGGATGACCTATAATCCGATTAAATGAGGTAGAGAGATAATTACAAAATATTAAAAATAAGGTTGTGCTGCAGGCAAACCAAATGACTGGAATAACATAGATAACAAGGTGTAGAGCTGGATGAACACAGCAGGGCAAGCAGCATCAGAGGAACAGGAAAGCTGATGTTTCGGGCCTACATCCTTCTTCAGAAATGGGGGAGGGGAAGGGTCTAGGCCCGAAACGTCAGCTTTCCTGCTCCTCTGATGCTGCTTGGCCTGCTGTGTTCATCCAGCTCTACACCTTATTATCTCAGATTCTCCAGCATCTGCAGTTCCTACCATGACTGGAATAACATGATGGTTTTAACAGTCGCATGCCAAGGGTCTAACCAAAGTAATAAGTAAACCAAAACTGTCCAAACTAATTAAGGTAGAGAGATCTTATTTACCCAGGTGACAGTGACAAAACAGGACAGCAAGGAAGATTTTACAGATACAGAACAGTGTGGTGGGGTCACATGTAGTGTGACATGAACCCAAGATCATGGTTGAGGCCGCCTTCATGGTTATCACAGTTTCTGTTTGGCAATTCTGCATTGTTGCCTATCTTGAAGGCCCCCCCATGGAGAACGCTTACCCGAAGACTGGAAGCTGAACGGTCGTGAGTGCTGAAATGTCCCCCGACTGGAAGGGAACATTCCTGTCTGGCGATTGTTGCGCTGCATCCATTCATCTGTTGCTGTTGTGTCTGCATGGTCTCGCCAATATATCATGCCTCGGGACATCGTTGTCTGCAGCACACGAGATAGACAACATCGGCTTAGTCACAAGTATCTGCCATGTATGTGGTGGTGGTGTTGCCATGTGCGATTGTTGTATCCATGTCAACAAGATCTGACTCATCTTGCAGAAATTGCCGTGGCAGGGTTGTGTGGTGTTGTAGTCAATGTTCTCCCAAAGGCTGGGTAGTTTACTGCGAACAATGGTCTGTTTAAAGGTTTGGCAGTTGCTTGAAGGCGAGAAGTAGAGGCAACGTGATGATCTTGGCAAGATGCCTGTGGTCTAGATCTTGGTGGGCAGGGGTTAATTCAAAACTTGCAGACGATACAAATCTTAGAAGCTGTAAACTGTAAGGAGAACAGTGCAGAATTCCAAAAGGCCAAAGACAAGTGGCGGAGTGGGGAGAGTTGGCAGATGTGATACAATTCAGAGAAGTCTGAGCTGATGCATTTTTAGAGGAAGAACATGGGTCAATATTATAAAATCAAGAGGTGCAGGAGCAGAAGGACCTGGATGTGTATGTGCACAGATCACTGAAGGTAATAGGAATGATGATGGGAGCAGTTAAACAGTTTTCTGTGCATTTTTAAAAAAGGGGCAGAGAATACAAAAGCAATGAGGGAAAGCTGAACTATTCAAGACACTTGTTAGACCTCAGTTGGACTACTGTGTATAGTTTGGGTACCACATTGTTGTAAGGATGTGAATGCATTGGAGAGAGTGTAGAAGAGATTTACAAAAATGCTTCCAAAGATAAGTAACTTCAGTTATGAGCATTGATGGCAGATATTCGGACTGGAGGCAGCCAAAAGGAGCTTCAGTAGAAGTTTTCAAAATCATGAGGAGATCTGGATAGAATTTATAGGAAGAAACTGTTCCTGCTCATAAAAGGATCCACAACAAGAATGCAGAGATTTAAAGATACTTGCAAATATGGTGAATGTGATGACAAAAAAAGCTTTCACACATGGTTTAGGCCCCCTGGAAATGTCGTTGAAGCAGATTCATTGAGGCATTCAAGATGGAATTAGATGATTATGTGAATAAAAACAAGGTGCAAAGGTACAAGGAAAAAGCAGGAAAATAGCACTAAGTCATAATGCTCATTGGCTAGCTGGTGCAAACACAATAGCCAGCATGGCCTCCTTCTGCATCATAATGCGCCTCCAATTCTGAGGAAATTGTTATGCAAACAGAAAAATAAAAGTAAAGCTTGAATTATTGTAGTATCCACACCATGTTTTCCAAGTGCAGATGCAAACACAGAGCTACTAAAAGCTGTACATCTGTTGAGTTCTAAAATGAAAAAAGCATAGCTCACACTGAAGCCATACAACTGCACAAAGTAGTGACAGTCACCTCCTTTTTTTTCTTCTTCCTGAACTGAAGAATCAGGACACTATTCTGGGAGGTAGGGTAACCCCTTTCTCCACAGCATGACAATAACTCAATCAAGTCCCAGAGGCAACTCCCAGGCCAGGCCGGCAAGGGGGCAGCAAGTCGCAAAGGTGGGTCCCAGACCAGGCCGGCACAGGGACATTGAGTCCCGGGACAGAGGCCAGTGCAGATGCGGCAAGTCCTGGACCAGAAGCGAGGCCCTTGGGGACTGGAAGCTCAAGATCTGAGGCCTAGTGTGGTCTAGAGACTTGGCCTGGGCAATCTGAAGGCTCGGTGCTGGCACAGACTAAAATTTGAGTACTTTTTAAAAAGAAAACTTCTTTATTCTTACACTGAATTTTTATTTGCGATTCTTTCAAGTCTGCTACACATACTTAAGTGTTCTGTACCCAAGCACCCTGTTCCTAAGAAGCTACCAAAGCAGAGACATTACAAACTTTTCACTGCACTCATTCAAGCGCACCTGATAATAAAGGCTAATTCAAATTCTTTACAACTGCATCCCAGGATAATTAAAGTTGGGGGAAAAAGGGGAAAAATGAGAAAGACATAAATCAGCTGCTTCTTAGTAAGGCCAATGGCATAACTTCAATGGAAACTAGTAAACATTTAAATAATAATTGAAAATAAATGTGACAGAGAAGGGCTCAGTAGAGGAAGGAAAGCCACTCTGTGGAATGCTGTAAGGAGGCTTGGAAAAGCAAACATAGAAAAAAAAACACAAACAGCAAATAGGCATGTGCAATGGATTTGTACCCAATACATTAAAATTCTGCACTAAAGCAGGAATGAATTTTGGAATCACAGAATCCCTACAGTGCAGAATACAAACAAGTTAGTTAAAAAGCAAGGGGACTTTATCCATTACAATTGAATACATAAATATTATACCAAATTAGTGGAGAATACACAAAATGCAGTGCTGTAAACGAGCTTGCAAAATGATCATACCTTATCCACTTTAATTATGTAGGCCTAACAACACAGTTCAGTCCTCTTACAATTGGATTCTACTTGAAGGCAACATTGCATGCTGATGCACTAGTCTATTCTAGACAGCAAATATAATTTGTGAAAATGGTAAGCCAGCAAACAAACACTTAATAGCTAATTGAAAATTAGCTCATAGGAGCAGCATTAATGCAGAGGACGTGTACATTGAACTGTGCAAGCAATGTGCCAACTATCTCGATATGAAATATTCACACAACTAAACCTAAGTCAGAGTGATACAAGGACAGAACATTCCAGCTTGGGCCTAGCATCGCTGAGCGCCTCCGCACTCACACTTAGTTACACAGCCGGCAGGAAAGCGACCCAACTTATAGTACCAAGTTCCTTTATTTAAAAAAGGACTGGAGGTGCATTCTAACTTCTACATTTCACCCACACAAAAGCCATTGAGAAATATTTCCTTCAAACTCACCACTTTCTGACACTAATTACGGACACTAGCACCAACACAGCACTCTCTGCACATGCTCCGTCCGAGACGACGTCGGACCCTAGAACGCATGCGCCGTTCGGCTTGACGAACTGATCGCAGAACGCATGCGTACTCCCCATTGACGGCCGAATTCCGAAGCGCATGTGCCATCTGCTCACGTTGCTTTCATCTGTCAAATGAGGATCATTTTGCGCATGCTCCAGTATAGGGGACGAGACTTCCTTTGCTAATGCTCCAAGTGGTGATTATAGGCTTGATGACTGATATGTTGTTCAGCAGATATATTTGATATTTTCTTGTTTATAAATTAATTATATATTAAATAGTAAAACTGACAATGGCACAAAGCTTTATTTTTAAGGATAAATAAACCTGGTTAGGTTTAATAATTCTGTATAGAAGTCAATTTGTGAAATCAGAATTAAAGCCCAGAAACAAGCCATTCAGTAGAACAGACTGATGCAATGCTTATGAATCACATGAGCCTCCTCACGTCCTTCACCTAACTCTTATCAATATATTATCTTATTCTTTTCACCCTTCATCTAACCTGATCAACATATTCTTTTCTGAAGAAGGGTCTAGTCCCGAAACGTCAGCCTTCCTGCTCCTCTGATGCTGCTTGGCCTGCCGTGTTCATCCAGCTCTAAACCTTGTTACAACATATTCTTTTATTCCTTTCATTCTTTAGGTGTTACCTCTCTCTTCTGAGGTCCACCCTCTAAACATGTTCAGTGTAAAGAAGTTTCTCCTGGATTTAGTGCTGACTATCATCATAGAATCCCTACAGTGCAGAAAGAGGCCATTCAGCATCAAGTCTGCACTGACTCTAAATTCATTCACTGACTGGGAATTCCTTATTGACCCTTTTTCTGACCTGATCCTCAAATGGAAATGGTTTATATGTACACTTTTAACTCATATCATAAAAACCTATATCAGGTCACCATTCAACATGCTTTTGAGAGAAAACAACCTAATCAGATGGATAATAATTTTGTAGTGGTGGTAATTCGAGAAGTAGGAAATATGATGCCATGGTGTATTTCATTTTAGTGCAGATATTTACTTTGTCAGGCTTTCTTGGAAACACGTTTTTGTGTCAGCATGGAAATTTGAGTAATTTGTAAACCCGCCAGGATTCTTGTGCATTGTCAATAATGGCATTTCATAACTGAGGATCGTAGAGATAGAAATTTAACCTGTTTCATTACATCAGTCAGGCTAATGGTTGATACATTGTTGCTTAGGTAAAAGTTGAACCTGGGTGAGATAAACCAATGTCACCATAACAATTGACAAAGAGCTTGAAAAAGTTTTAAGAGTTTTGTCATTAATATCTTTTACTGCTACAGCAAGAACATTTAGACTCAAACACTGTGGCAGTTCTCCAAGTTCATAATTATTTGGTGAAGCTGGGACAAAGATGAAGCATTGAAAAGGCAGAAAATTTTGAATATTGCTTTATGAAAATGTATTTTTAAAATTAGCACACCTTTACATCTTTCTCTAATTTTTAATTGAATGTTGTATACACAAGGATGCAAAGTTATAAAAGCCAAGAATAGTAGAGAATCTAGAGATGCAGGTACGTAGATCCTTGAAAGTGGCATCACAGGTAGACAGGATGGTGGAGAAGTCATTTAGCACGCTTGCTTTCATCAGTCAGAGCAGTGAGTTGGGACATCATGTTACGACTGTACAAGATATTGGTAAGGCCACATTTGGAGTACTGTACGCAATTCTGGTCGCTGTGCTATAGGAAGGAAGTTATTAAACTGGAAAGCATGCAAAAAAGATTTACAAGAATGTTACCAAGACTGGAGGGTTTGAGTTATAAGGAGAGACTGGATAGGCTGAGACTTTTTTCGCTGGAGCATAGGAGGCTGAGAGGTGGCCTTGTAGAGGTTTATAAAATCATGAGATGTATTGATAAGGTGAAAAGCTAAGGCCTTTCCCGCAGGCCTGGGGAGTCCAAAACGAAGGAGCATAAATTTAAGGTGAGAGGGGAAAGATTTAAAAGGGACCTGAGAGGCAACATGTTCACACAGAGGGTGGTGTGAATAGGAATTAGGAGCAGGAATAGGCAATTCAGCCCTTCAAGTCCGCTCCAACTTTTAATATTATCATGTCTGATCTTATATGGAATGAGTTGCCAGAGGAAGTGGTACAGGCCAGTACAATTACAACATTTAAAAGACATTTGAACAGGTATACGGATAGGAAACATTTTGAGGGATATGGACCAAATGCAGGCAGATGTGACTAGGTTAGTTTACGAAACCTGGTTGGCATGGACAAGTTGGGCTGAAGGGTCTTTTTCCATGCTATATGACTCTAAATGCCTAGCCACTGATGTCCGTATCCCATGTATATTATCCCAATAGGTGTAACCACCCATAAAATAAAAACAGAAAATGCAGGAAATGTTCTGCAGGTCATAGAATATGTGAACAGTGAAACAAAGTTCATAATTAAGGTATGTGAGCTTAATTGCTCTGAACCCAATGGTCCAGCAATGCTCAGTTTTCAAATTCTTGTTCTACTCCATCTCTGTAACCTCCCACAAAAATTTGATTTTTCTCTAATTCTGGCTAATGTACGCCTGTTAATTATTTGATCTCACTATTTATGGCTGTACCTTCACATGTCAATTACCTTTTATTGAAACTTGGAACATTTAGAAAAGAATGGGAAGGAAACAAAAGAAAGGTGTTTGATATGGTGGAGGACAAGAGATATTAAATAACAACAGGCCATGGTGCAGGATCAAAGATAATGATAATTGAGACAAATGAAGAAACAAAAGATATGTCTAGATGGAGGAGTGAGTGAGGAAGATCTACCATCCAAAAGCAAACATGAAAGTAAAAGAGTATGACAAAAAATTCCCCAAAAAGAGAAAGGATAGAAAATGGAGAAAGAGATTACAGTCTGAAGTTGTTGGACTCAATGATGACTCTGTAAGGTGTAAAGCACCTAATCTGAAAGCTGAAGCACTGTTTGTCAAGTTTAGACCACATTGGAACACTATAAGAGGCTGAGGACAGAGTAGTCATTGTGATCAAAGATCATAAGATGTAGGAGCAGAAATAGACCATTTTGCCCATCAAGTTAGCTCTGATATTCAGTGGATCATGGCTGATCTGATAATACTCAACTCCACTTTCCTACCTTTACCCCATATCATTCCCTTCCATTAAAAAAAATTACTGATTAAAAACCTTTATTATTTCTAGACTTGACTACTACAATGCACTTGTCATGCTCCCATGTTCTATCTGCCATCCAAAACTCTGCTGCCTGCGTCATGACTTGCACCAAGTATTGTTTACCCTTCTTCCCCTCCTTGTTCCCACATGGGCTCTGGGTTAAGAAATGCCTTAATTTTTTAAACTTACTTTTGTTTTCAAATCCCTTCATGGCCTGAGCTTTCCTCATCTCAGTTATCTTCTTCAGCTCCACAACTTTCTGGGAAATCTGTGTTCCTCTATTTCCGGCCTTTTGTGATTCCATAGCGTTTTGGTGATTGTGTCGACTACCTCAGCTTAAGCTTTTGAATGTGGTTCATAAACTGCTCCTGTTCTCTAGCATTTTTGCCACTATTAATATCCTTGTTAAAATCGACCTGTCTGTCCAAAAGTTTGGTCCTATGCTTAATATGTGGCTAGGTCCTAAATTTTGTTTGCATGGATTGCCTTGAAACATTTTACTGCGTTAGAAACATAGAAACTAGGAGCAGGAGTAGGCCATTTAGCCTTTCAAGTCTGCTCTGACATTCAATATGATCATGGCTAATTATCCAACTCAATACCCTGTTCCACTTTCTCCCCCTAACAATTGATCCCTTTAGCCTTAAGAACTACATCTTCCATATATTCTTGAAAACATTCAATGTATTGGCCTCAGCCACTTTCTGTGACAAGGAATTGCATAGGCTAAGCACTCTCTGGGAGAAGAAATTCCCCCTTGTCTCAGACCTAAATGGAATACCCAGTATCCTTAGCCTTTGAACCTTGGTTCTGGACTCCCTGGTAATTGGGGACATCCATCCTGCATTTACCCTGTCTAGAATTTTGCATTTCACAGATTTCTATGAGAATCCCCTCTCATTCTTCTGAACTCCAGGGTATATCATTGTAACTGATCCATTTTCTCTTCATTAGTAAACCCTGCCATCTGAGGACTTAGTCTGGAACTAACGAAGGAACTGTTTAAGTACAAGTTTTATAAGATAAGAAATAGGAGCAGGAGTAGGCCATTTGTTTTTATTGGGAGACTTGAATTTGGAAACATGGATGATTTACTGGTGATGCTTCTTAGATGAAAAAAATACCACTGGTGATTCGGTGATGGAAGAAAAAGTGCAATTGTGTGTAAGATCATTTCTGGATATAAAAAAAAATTAATCTTGAGTAAAGTCACACGTAATACTGCAAAGTGGGACTTGTGTAGATTTAGTACGACCTTGTCGGTATAGACTTGATGGGCCAAAAGGCCTCTTCCATACCAGTCACCGTCTGTCAATTACATGTGACGAACATCCGCGCTAGCCAATGGGAGAAGGGTAGTGTATGTCAGTCAATAGGCAGCGGTTAGAGACGGGAACGCTGGGCAGATTATCCCCGCCCCTTTGGCTGATAGATCGCCATAGCAGCCAATCGGAATGGTGTGTGATGGTCTCCCTGCGCATGTGTCCAATGATGTGGATGGGGAGGCGGAACCTGGCGTTTGCCGTTGGTTTGAATCGCGGAGGCCGGCGGCGTGACAGTGTCAAGTGTGAGAGCAAACGGTAATCCTCCATAACTCACCGAGTGCTCCAGATCCCCGGACACAAATACACAGAAAATAAGGGGCCATGTCTCCTACCGGCGAGTCTCTGATCGGCGGTACCGGCAGAGGAGACCCCATGGGCCCTAATCACCTCCGCTGGAACCTGAGCAAACAGCAAATCGAGCAGGAGGTTCAGGCCCTGATCCGCCGGACCAAGCAAGTGTACGACCGAGTCGGCTCGCTGGATCTGGCCGAGGTGAAGTACGACAACACACTGAAGGAGCTGGCGGACATCGAGGTCGAATATACGGGTAGGCCTGGGGGCGCGGGGAGCTGGGTGAAGACCTGTGTTTGTGGGACTGGCCACTGTGCG